TCTCTGAGCAGCGTAAGGGGGCTTTGCAGTGGATATACCCTGCTATAAATTTAATTCTCCTGGAAGACTTCTCTTTACGCTGTGGGGTGGCCTGGGATGGATTACCTGGGGAAGAATGGAATGTGCCGCCGCCTCCTCTTCCGAAGCAGCCTGCAATTTCTCTCTGTTGCTGATGCACATACRCACCCATTCTAAATGGCTTGGTAGGTAATCATTATCTTGAAGTGGCAGGTGGTAATTGCTGTATTAAAATTCTGTGCGGCTTATTTGCCACGCAGGGCTACAGCAGAACTCTCTGCAGCCCGCCAGCGTGTAGATTAGAGATGCCTTGGGCATCATCTTCTCCAATTTTTAAAAAATTAATCATGCATAGTTTCCATATTAACGGAGAAGGGGATGAGAGAGGAAAATGAGGCAGCTCCTGCCCACACACTCCTTGTGCTCCTTTCTACGAGCCTGGGCTGACCCTGTCCGTGTCTTGTGACCTGTACCTGGAAAAAGAAAAGCGAAGTACCCTAACRAAGCCACTTTCTCCAGGCAGGAGCCTATTCCTGGTGGAAGGAAGCGATGCAAACAACACAATGCTGGGATTGCTCAGCATTCATGCTGGRTTTGCCAATGCTGGACTGGTTTTGGCAATATATGTTAGCATATGTCATGATGGTAACGTGCAGTCCGTGAAGATTTGCAGCTTAAATCTGGCTGGAATGCACAGGAGTGTTTAGCAGTTTGAAGTGTCCCAGGTAGGCAGTGAGACCTGAGATGTCTCCTCTGAATACAAGAAAGATGCTAGAGACAGAAATCCTGGGATCCTCCTGTTGTCTGCACTGATGTGGTGGCTATAAATCATTTTTCAGCTCGTTTTAGAAGCAGGATGAAAAAAATGACACCTTTTTTATTGCTCATTTGGAAGGAAGTTATGTGAAAATTACCAAAGTTTTACATTATAAAACCTGCTGTGCACTCTAAAATAAGCAGAAACTCGATTTGCTGTTTATAATTTACTGATTTGTAATGATTTTCACAGCACAGATGCCACAAGCACAAGATTATGATGAAGGGTATGAAATAAGCAGTAGAAAGAAATTATCTATTAATAATGGKCTATACTGAGCACGGCAAAAAAGAAGGGTGGGCTGCTTTCTATTTACAGCCAAACTAATTGTTTGATAGCCATGTAAAAATAAAATAATGACTACTGTGTCTGTCTCCAGAGTTGCATACTGAGATGAGTCAGTGATGATTTGATTGGACAAGATTGTGGAATAAAAGCAGTTAAATTGTGCAGAATTGGTCATGCGTTTTTCTGCACTGCCAGCAGTTCCACTTGGTAAATATATACAGCAGGTTCCCCTTGTCTTTCATGCAACTTGTATGGTGTGATTAATGCATTTACTCTGTTCCCAACTGCTGCTACCAGCTAGTAGAGCTGCTTTTGCCATGGAGGTGACATGTATTAGGCATTTGCTGATGGCTCATGGCAGAGGATGCTCTGCAACAACTGAATGCAACARGCTGCTTATGGGCATCCTTCCCTTTATGCCCAAAGAGAACATGCACCTGATCTTTTTTCTGGACTATTAATTTGCTTTCTTTGCTTTTTGCATGTAAGTATGTACTGGAGCTAACAGTAAGGACACCCATTTCAGTTTACAACTGTTAGGTCCTTCAAAATGAGTCAGCCAGACTTGCTCCTTTGCAATGATGAACCCTGTCTGAATGCAGATTGTTTCCTAAATAAATATATATTGGAAAAGTTGATGGCCAATGATATGCCAAAGTTGTGCTTTATATGKCTAAAGCCCACTAGCTGAATAAACGTGAACTAAAGATTCCTGTGAATTCAGGTGACTAATGAATGCCTTAGAGCAAGCAGGTATTTTGGGAAGAGGATCATGTCCTCATTCRACTCTGAACCCAGGAACAAGGGTAGACAGTCTGGGACACCATAATGGAATAAAAAAAATGATCATATGGATGATTAGAACACAAAACTACAGCTACAGAGGGGGAAAAAAAGTCTGCTGGTTTTATTCTGATATCTAAATTATCCAATTTTGGGGGATGCCCATGAGAGCACAGCTGGCCCAAATGGAGGCCCTTTTGCTAACAAAAGAGCAGGAGAGGAAGGTGCTGCACAGAAGCTCTTACCTGGGGGCATCCCTGCTTTTAATTTGTAATTGGTCTCTGCTCCCATTCCAGGTTTGCTGCCTTTCCCCATTTGCAGCTCACATTGGCTGGGCTGAGTTTGTACTCAAGAGAGTCTTACTAAAAAGGGTAAACACAGTTTGTTTGAGTGCTCTTTTTTCTTTTCCCTGGGGGAATTAAGTTGCAAGTGTTTAAGCTTTACAAAGGTGTCTGCCCTAAATGARCGACCCAGGGGTTCCCTTTTGCCTTTGGCTTTCTTCCCACCTGGAGAAAACTTAATGTAATAGCCACAGTGGGCTGCAATCTGTCTCTCAGAAGTCGCATTCAGAAATTTATCTTCCTCACCCTTGGCATTTAAATTTGACTACTTTACAAAGAATTTAAAAGGGAAATGGTGAGATATTTGTAGTTGTTAAGATCATGATGGCATGTACAGATGTCAGATTGCTCTTGTGTATTGTGAAACTTTAGCAGGAAATATAGTCAGTAAAGAAATCAGTAAAGATTGAGTTTTGTTTTCTTTTTGTATTTCCTTAAAGTTGCGGAAAAATACAATTTGGAAAGCTTCACTGTAAATTGCATACCAAGAATTTTGAAGTTACAAAGTTACTTTTTGTTTTTTAATGTGTGATCTCAAACAGAAGGAAAACCACAAGCAAAAATATAGAAAATGTACATTTTTCTTTTTTTCCTCTGGGGTGAATTATGTCAGAAAAGATCTCAYGCAAAGTCATGGCGGATGTGTGCCCTCACTATTAAACAGGGTGCTAACATGGGGATAACTCGGGTGCAAGTTTTGTGGCAAGAAATGTTGGAAGTGCAGGTAGGTCCAGGCAACTCTTTGGGGCCTGCAGATGCTTTGGTGCAGACGTGGTGTGGTGACGTTAAGGTGCATTCAGTAATTAATGTAAGTAAGCAGCAGGGACATCTGTGTCATGCAAAGGAATGTTCCTAGCAGGGAAAAGATGGATATCAGCTGTGTTTTAACCAGAGATCTTTGGCACCACCATTTTCTACAACAGAAAAAAAAATGAAAGGTTTTTTTCCTTTAGCTTTGAGATGAGACTGCACCGAGGGAGCGCATCATGTTACTGTGGAAAAGCTTGGGGATGATGAACTATAAAGCTAATTGGCTAAACTCTCCAAGCCTGGAAAAAATGGTGAGATCTGTTAGTTACAGTGTTTGTTTCTTGAGTTTTGGGCTCTTCTGGAGCTAACGTGCTGGGATGTGCTGTGTTTGAACGGCATCTACGGAGCAGGGGCCAAACCATGAGCTCATTAATGGTTTGAAGGTGTCCACGAAGGCAAAAAAATGGACTGTGGATGGGTCCTGGGGGTTTTGTAGCAGCCCTGTGCTTTGATGTCTGTTGGCAACCTGGAGCGGGGAATTTTATTGCACTAGGTGCACCTATTAAAAGACTTTCAACTCCCTTTGTGTGATATTGCAGAAGGGGGAATTAGAATAGGAGGCGAGAAAAAAAAAAAAAAAAAAGGAAAGAAAGGTTTTCTTGCAGGATGGAAAGAAAAGAGGATAAAAAGGGCGGAAAGAAAGAAATTGGCATTTGCTAGTTGGCTGTTCATGTTAATCCTCTTTAGCCCGCACGTGACTGGCTGGAAACCCTCTCGCGTTTTTCAATCCGGTGTGGAGCGGCAAGCTTAGCGACGGCCCTAAGAACCTTTTAAAATCCCTAAGCAGCTTCTAGCCCCTCTCATGTCACTCGGGACTTAGGAGGCTGGCTCCGTTCAGGCACCCGGGGCCAAGGGATAAATGCTCAGCCCGCTGCTGAGCATTTCAATTGGTCTCCTGCACCAGGGCTGGTGGTTCAAAGTGGCATGTCAGGAGCTGGCGTGTGGATTTAAATGCAATTTTTGAGCAGAGATGGAAGAGGATTTTTATATTTCAAGGTGGAATTCAGTAATTTGTAGCCCGTGCCACAAAAACACACTGAGGAATTCCCGGATTTAGGTTGTCAAGATAGTGAAGCAAAGGAACTGCAAATTCTGGAAGGAAAGAGCACAGCTTAGTGCTCACTGCTTCCCTCTTGAACAGCCACAGGGGCAACAAATAAATAGGCAGAGAAGAATAGATCGTTTTGCCTGCTCCCTTATCAAAGTCCAGACAGGTTCATATACTGTCATTTGCAGTATTATCCATATTAATTGTAGATGTCTCAAGGAACATCAAGGATTTTCTTATCGTAAATGTTCATAGCTATAGAGACCTTTTTTACTGGTAGGTTTCTTAAACAGGTTATGAGGAAGTGTGTTATCTGACTGAGAACACTTCTACAAATAATTACGGTGTTTACTTCCTGGTGATAGGGACAAACAGAATCACCAAAAAAAAAAAAAAAAAGTGTTAGACCTTAAAACAAACTCATATATTTGACAACTCAGAAGAAAGATCAAAAGAAAGATCTCTCAAAGAAAGAGAGAAAGAAACTAGTCAGGCTTGCTGTTTTTTCTATCATTTATTTTTCTATAACATCTAAGCATAAGCCTGGGATGCAAATCTGTCTACAATGCACCCAGGAGATTGAACTCCATGRGGTTAGTTCTTTTTTCTCTTTGGTTGCATCATATTGTCTTTATTTTGCCTGAAATTTTAACACGTTGACACTGATGAACTATATGGAGATTCCTTTTTACAGCGTAAGAAGCGAGGCCCTCAGCTCACGACGACAGGTAGCGCAACTGGGGGCACGCGTCGAATCGCATCTGAAACCAACTTGTGTTGTTGTTGCAAAAGGAAGGGACATTAAAGGATGGTGTGACTGCCCTTGGGCAAACCTCCCTCCAAGCCGTCACGTGGTGGAGGACAAGCCGTCACTTGGTGGAGGACACGATGCCTGGATGGGAGCAGCCGCCCGTTTCCACACACAAGTGCATTTCCAGCACAGTTAGGTGTCTAACTGAGCATGGTAGTTGAACTAATGTATTTAAACGTGTAATTCATTCAGCGCCCCTAACCTGTTTGTAATGTTTTGTTCTTCAGGATGGTGTCAGACTCCAAGGAGGGAAAACGGCCTGCTGATAGCAGAGGAATTTCTGAAAGCCCCCAAATGCAGCGAAATTCCTGGGGTTTCCAGGCAGAAAAGGAAAGTGGAAGTAGAAATGCATGCASATGAAGTGGAACTTGACTACATGCTGGGCATGACTCTGAACAGCGATTTTAATTCTAAAAATCTCTCTGTGTTATCATGATACCCTGTGGGGCAGCCCAGGTCACTGGGCAGCTGGTTAGGAAAGCGACTTTGGTAACTGAGAGGTTTAACCTGCATCTTGTTTTGTGCAGAGGAGAGAAGTGTCCCTCTTCCAGCATGATCCATGTGGCTGGTAAGTGCTGGTCGGTGTGCTCAAAATGAAAATATTTGGCCTGGGTGATTCTTCTACAATCTGACCATTTGGGTGACTTCTCCTGTTGCTCCATCCTTGCAGCAGGACCTTAGGTTTGGGTGTTTCTTCATAGCTGAACAAGGACAAGCCCTTGTAATCCTGAGGCTCCATTAAACTCAACTGAGAGTCACCTGGTTGCGGCAGAAGGAGCCTCACAGCCTCTCCATCCACCCCAGGATGCTCCCTTGTGTACCGACAAAACACTGACAAAAGYACCTGGGTGTTTATTTTTGAGGTAAGAAGAAATGCATACTCTTTTTGTCCTCAAAACATTTTTTTCAACTTTCAGGCTCTATTTGCAAAATAGTTGTAGGTTTCTTTTAACCTGGTAAACTTATGTGCTATTATACCTCTTACATATTTTTRTGATGCTGAGTCTTGAATCTGCTGCTTCAATTACAGGAACTGCCAACAGTTGTATAAAAATCCAGAATATAGAGACAGAGGTGTCCTGCTTTTTACCTTTGGAATTACTTTTCCATGCTCTTGACAACTTTCCCTTACAAACTAAGTCAGTGATAGCTATGGCTGTGGAATGCAAGAAAACTAATGCAAACCTTTACTGTCAAAACAGGGACAAAACAACAAAAGTGCTGGGGCTTGGCACCGCTCCTGGCTCTCTTCCTTGCTCTCTCCCCAGCCCTTCAAAGCCAGTTGCTAGAAATGGCAAAGAGGGATGGGAAGTCCTGGCAAGGCTGYGAGAGAGGAAATACAGATGTATGGCTCTTCTGCCCTATAGAGGTGCACATCTATGCATCAAATGAGGAGATGGGGCATTTTGGATTGTTTATCATGCTCAGTGCAGCATCCAAGAGGGTGGAGAGGTTCTGCTCCTGATGCACGTGGCTCCAGCAGGTTTAGCCTCGATCGTCATCTGAAGCGGCTTAAAACTGTGTTTATGTTGTTAATTTAAATCTAGAGAAATATACTGCCTGAGCTGCTGATACGTGGACTGCTTAGAGTGGGAAGGTTAATTCATTTTCAGGTTGGAAAAATAGATGAATGCATTTATTAAGAAATCTTTTGTAGTTTTTTTTTGGTAGATTTTTGTAGAAGTTTGTAGAGATGGATTTTGTATACATGGGTACCTGAGATTGGAGTGAGGTAAGCTCAGCAGGTAAAATAGAGTATGTAAAATGCTAATGGAAATACCAGCCTTGCTGTTCTTCCATGTCTGATCTGCATCATGTTGTACCAAACTTGTTGCTGTCATATGTGAGGAGATGCCTTGTGACCTATGTGCATTTTGAAAACCCAAACTGTAGTGCTTGGCCTAGTTTCTCAGGAAGGGTTTGCTAAGTGAGGTTTGTTAGATGTTGATAAAAAAAAAAAAAAAAAAAAAAATCCTTAAATAATAAGCATAATCTCACTACTCAGATGCTTTAAACAAACCTTTATTTCAAGTTCTTTATTAAAAATAGATTAAAGCCTGTATTGCATAACCTGAATAGCAGTTAAGATGAGGTCCGGTTTGTCCTTGACTTAAATTTCTATGGTACTTTGGCCCGTTCTGTTCCTATTCACTCTACATGTTTGTGTTCTCCGTCTTCTAGTGCCCTGTAYATAGTTTTACTGTCCCGTCCACATACTATGTCCATTCTGCATTAGCTTTATAATCTTGTTAGTAAATATTGCCAAACATGATAAATTTACTCATACTTCAATAGATGATATCATTGAAGAATGCACTTTGAAAGTGGAAAAGCGGAACGTTACATTCAATGAAGAGACAAGGCTGACCTCAGCACTAAAATGCTCTTCTCTATTGAAATTCAGAAATAACATATAGGGCTGCACTGGTGTAAAGTGCTGAAGCACCTTGACGGTGCCCCAAACGAGTGCTCTGTCTGATGGAGTTTTTAATACTTCAAGAAGACATAGCATGCACGGTTAGATGTCAAAGAAATAATTCCCTGTAGGATCCGCAGGCCACATTTCAATGTTGACTTATGGTGACAGTGCAAATGATTGACCAGCAGTCGCCCAGGGGGCATTTCTGCACACACACAGTAGCGTTTTCCCTTTCTGCCCTTAAATCCCTTCGTGTGGTGCACTGAGGGCTTGTGCCCGTCTCGCTCATTGCACGTGCCAATGCCATGGCTCCTGAGGAAGCCCTGAGTAGGTCATTGCCTGGAGCCTGAGCTCATGGTCTTCATAGCMTGAATTAATGGTGCTAATGAAGAACTGGAGTTGAGATGATGGCAATGGTCTGAAAAATTTCCCTCTGAGGGCATGAGTAAAGTGTGGTCTTGCTTAACTTCTGGCAATTCTCCTCTGCAGGACTTGGGATAGATTTTAATAGGTGACAAATCTCCCTGTCATACGTATGAATAGGGATCAGCATTATTGACTGTTAAATGATTTTTTAGAAGGATTTGATTCACAGCATAAAAACATGGTTCTCGTAAAGAGCAAGGCCTCACCAAATAGCAGGGCAAGGTAAATGCCCCAGCAGCCTACTTATATAAATGATATAAATTGTATGAAAAATACAATTGTGACAGAAATTTACCCTGCAGCCCTGGTTTCTTGAAAGCCACGGGGTACCTTGGTGTGTGTGTCCAAAACCCGAGCAGCAATAACACAGCAGCTGCGAAAACTGTTGTTTCACTCTGCTGACGAGAAATACGAACACAAAGGGATTAAGAATAATATTTATGTACAACTTTACTAAGTTTATAATTGCATTTRTCTTGAACGTGAATAACAAGGTGGCATAAAACACAATGCCTTTTTCACGTACATAGGGCTTCGATAAGAATTGGCAGCCTCTCAGCTAGAGACTTCCTTGCTTGGCACCAGACGCTCCTGATTCTTGTCCACGTCTTGAAAAATTCATTAAAATGTCTTGACAGTTCAGCTGAAATCGTCATGGTTGCCGTTGGAAATAAGGTTCTAATAGTGAGAAAAATAAGTAGGATTTCTGAAGTTCCCCTTTTCTTCTTTCCCAGCTTAAAGCTGATAGGCAGCTCTCCGAGAATTGGAGACAGGGAAACTTTCAGAAGCRTTTTCCTTCTAATCTGCTATCATTGTCTGCAGTCTTCTCGGAAGTGAGTTTCTATTTGCTGGCTGTATAGGCATTTTGTTGGAAGCATTTTTGTGAAAATACATGAAATGGCATTTGAATTGCTTTTGGATTCCTTATAGGGTTTTGTTTTATTTTTAAAGCCTCTGAATTGGAAACATATTTCATTCCTTATATTTTTGTTTTTCTTCTAAACAACTTTGTACCCAGCACAAAATGAAATGTAGAACACCTGAGTAATTTGTTAGTCTCTGAATAGAAAATAAAGAAGCTCTCTGAGTAATGGAGCCAATAATTTAATTTTTAACTGAAACCTTGAYCTGTAGTAGAGAACCACAGATTGCTTTAGTTTTCTCACAGTTTTCATTGAAACACACACAGAAAGGCTCTTTTCCACTGAGACACCCTGGTGTACTTCATGATGGTGCTATTCCAACTTAATCCTCACAGATACCTTAGTTTTTAAGTCTCTTACTGATTTCTCCCCGCTCTCGCACCAGCAACAGCTCAAACCATTCCTGCACATTACAAAAGCAACAGCAAACGCCTGGTGGAAATCTTTCAGGGCTAGATTATCCCTATGAAACGGATACTCGTAGCTGTTTCACCCTCCTTTGACATTTGAAACCACGGGAGGACTTTCCTCCAGGGCCGGGTTTCGGGGCCTGCGGACATCTCGGAAGCGAGCAGAGCGGCTTGGAAAGCCCTTGGTGCTGTGCCATCCATGCAGGAGAGCCTGGGGCTTTCCTCGCCACTTTGGTCTCGGCCTACTTCCCCTTTGATTCCCGGGTCTCCAGGCACAGCGGCGGCAACGCGCGGCCCGCGGGCTCGGCTCGATGCGGTGAGCTGATACACAGGTGCCTGCAAGGGCCGTCAAGGTGTGCTTGCTGCACCTAGGAGGTTTTTTGTGGCTTTTGTGGGCTGGAGAAGTGGAAGCTCAAGTCCAGGCTTGATTAGGAGGACACTTAGTCTGCTCCATGTGCACGGCAGCATTCCCGTCACTGATGCCCCCGGGGGAATATTGGGATTCTGCCGCCTTCGGCATCAGCACTGTAACGGCACCGAGGTATTTGCGGTGGGAGGAGGAGTTTTGTTCCAGCTCTTTGCAGGTGGCAGGTACAGGAAGGCTGGTTGGATAGTGCTCAGTGCCAGTGGGAGGGTGCCCRAGGAGACATTGTACTGCGGTCATCTAGGGATGCTCTGAAGTGTTTGCTCAGGAGAAAATGCCTATGRAATAGGGGAAAAGCAGAGAGGAACATGTGCACAGTGTCCTTAAGAGGTTGAAATTTTACTTTTAGAGTTTCCCGTTGCTCACCRGTCTAACAAAATTTCCAACGTGTATCTTTGGTTTTCAGAGCAGGTTTTTATGGAAGAACATGACTGATCCGAGTGCTGGGAAAGTTAAGCCCTGCACTTTAAAGAGCTGCCTGTGAAAAGACAGGTCATGTCTTTCCCCTGTGTTGTGTTTGCACAGTGATGCTGCAGTCCTTGGCCTGCAATGAATAAGCGTGATGGAAGGAGCTGTCGGAGAGTACCGGGCGTATCTGGATGGATTTTGCCCTCTGCGAGGTAGGGATCCGGCAGCAGGTAGTTCTCATGAAATGACCAGAAAGTGGCAAGGAATCGCCCAATGCCACATCAGTGTTCCCTGCCAAGGTTGGAGCTGATAGTCTGAACTACAATTTGAACTCAGAAGACAGAAAGTGCTTTTTCTTTTATTTTTTTATTTCAAAACTTTTGTTCTTTTTTAGCAGCTAGCAGTGAGAAGTCATCTGTACAACAGGGAAAGCTGCAGACCTCATGAGCACTAGCCAGCGGCCAGGATTTGGGAAAATAAGATGACCGTGCTGAGCCTTCCTTGGGAAACTGGGAATTTCCAGCAGAACTGTTAGCTTTGCGTGTGTGATATCCCTGCCCCGTGGAGGAAGCAAGCGCCCTTTTGCCTGCGTGGGAAAGCATTTAATAGCTATATCCGACAGGCARACATGGTTCAGCCCATTTTTACACGCTTCTGGCCAGCGGTCAAGCAAAATTTAAAAACCATTATCATTTGCTGGGGGCTGCACCGGCCTCAGAGCCRTCTTCCCATTTAAATACAGGATAAGCATTAGCTAAGAGCGATTACCTTAAATTATCAGATGTTTTCAGCAGTCATGTGTCTCTTCAGTCAGCTGCCTAGGAAAATGAAGAGAGAGGTTATCAGGCGAGCCTAGTTCCGTGGGCAATGCCTTTTTTTTCCCAGTTTGATCCCACTGAGTTGTTTGTGCTCGTCCCGGGGTGCCCATTACGAGCCCAAACGGGCTCGTGTTGGGCGGGCAGAGGCGGCACAGGCCGCGCTGCCCGGGGCRGGAGGTAGGTGGGAAGGCCAAGGATGCGCTTGGCATGGGGAGCATGAGCCGCGAGGCCAGCAGCGCTGCCCGGACCCGCGCGCACAGCCGCTGGTCTCCAGTGTCTCCTGTTCTCAGGCGCATTCAAGAGCGYGGCTGTGCTCCCGGCTCAGCCACCTCCTGTCCAAACCACACAATGTCCAACTATTTTTTTTCTTTTAAATCCTTGCTCCTAATTAAGCAGTAACTGTAAGAGCGGTAAGCGCAGCAATCATTGCTCTCTGCACTAATCTAATCTGAAGCCCTGAGCAGCTGCAGCAGTTTCTCTAGGCAGGATTTTTCCCCTTTGGCATGTCCTGCCCAGGCTGTCCTTTGATTAGCCTGCGAGTGCTGGAAGGCTATTGATTTTTTGCTCCATTTTATGAACGTGTTCTCTTTCCAGCAGCTTAATTCCTCCTGTTTGCATTTGAATTACCGGGGAGTGAAAGCAAAGTATTTACGCATCTGATTTACCTGCGTGTCCAGCCAGAAGAGCTCTGGGACAACTGGAAAATCCCTGATTTCTGAGGCACTGGAGGTCCTGGGCTCTTCTGTGCTGACCCCAAGGACGGGGCACTGCTGCAAGCACTAAGCGGGTGTCTCGGGGGCAGCGCGGCTGCCGCGGGGCGTGCAGACATCCCGGTGATGCCTGCAGAAGCTCCGGTCCTGCAGGAATAACCGAGGGATTTCACGGGGCAGGTTCGGGAACACCGCTGGCGGCAGCGCACAAAAAGTTAAGCCCCGCAAAGTTTAATTTTCACGAAGGGGAAGTTTTCGGAGAAAGCAGTTGGACGAGCCCCAGTGCTGACGTAGCCGCTGTGGCTGCTTCTCCCCTTGCGCTCGCACCCGYTCTGCGCTGGGGCAGGCGCTTGTTTTTCCCTGCAAGTTGATGTGAAAAAAAGAAAAAAGAAAAAAAAAGGAAAAAGCAGGAACTTTGGGAGTGTGTCGCCGGCGGCGCGCGCCGCTCCGGCTGCCGCTCGCTCCTCCCGGCTCCCGCTTTGTTCTTCCCACCTCCGGGCGCAGGTCGGTTGTGCAACATGCCCCTACCACTTCAAAAGGGAAAGAAAAAAAAACAAACAAAAACAAGGAGGAAGACAGAGAGAGAGAGGAAAAAAAAAAAGAAATGCTGAGTAATGCCAGAGGTTTCTCAAATGGCTGATGCAAACCTGGAGAATTTGCATCATCATTCAGCCGGAGTAACTTGGTATGACACGAGCTTAAATACAAGTCCACGCGGAAGCCGAGGCGGTTTCCAGCGCGAGGCAGGGCCAGGGAGCAGCGCGCGAGCACAGGTGTTGCCGAGCGGGGCTCGGCACAGCCTCCCACCTGGGCGCCGGCGCCGCCGCAGCTGCGTGCACCGGGAGGGGGGAAAGGGGGAAATAACAGAGGGGGGGGAAAAAAAAGAGGAAAAAAAAACCTAAAGTGCAGGTAAGGCTGAGCTCGTGCTGGGAACTTTGTGCCTGTGCTCGCCGGGGCTGTGCTGGGGCCACGGGAGCATGTTGAGGAAGGCGTCCGTGCCCGCTGCCTCCAATGGGAAGTACTCGCCGGAGTGCTCCAAGGGCCGCTCGCCCTCGCTGGAGAGCGGGCAGTTGGCYCCGGAGGGCAGAGTGGTGCTGAAGCAGAAGGTGACGCTGCTGAGGGGCATCTCCATCATCATCGGCACCATCATCGGCGCCGGCATCTTCATCTCGCCCAGGGGCATCCTGCAGAACACGGGCAGCGTGGGCATGTCCCTGTGCGTGTGGGCAGCCTGCGGCCTCCTCTCGCTCTTCGGTAAGTCGCCCCGAGCGCATGCCAGCGTTCGCGCCGTTGGATACGCACCAGCGCCAATGGATTTGYGGGAGCCTCTTCTCATTCCGGTGCCGGATGAGCTCTGTGCAGGGGGTCCCTYCTGCCTCCCCTCGGAGCCCTTGGGAAGGGGCAACAGCACGGAGCCGGCTTCTCCCGAGGGCTCCCGAGAGCAGAGGGAGCAGGACGTGTGCCGTGCTGCGGCAGAGCTTGCAGGGGATGCAGGTGCCACGTGCGCCCCCRTGACGCGCTCAGGCCGTRGGACCCGGCTCCCCGGGCACACGARCAGGCGCTGGCAGGAGGAACTCCTGCTGGACCAAATCCCCATTGGCACGAAGGGAGCAAAATATTGTTATATTATTGTAAATCATCATTGTTAGCTTTTGCTCCCTGCTGGCGGTGCTGCTTGGGCAGAAGGCAGTGCCAGGAGCGGTGTGGACAGGAGCAGGGGGCTAGCGAGCCCTTCCTGCCCGAGGCGCCCGCTGGGGCYGTCTTCAGCATTTCGGGGGCGTTTGGTGGCAGTAAGCGCTGGGGAATGCGGCGGTACGTGCCGGGCGCGCAAAGCCCCCRCCGAGGAACAGAGGGGCCATTGACCTCCTTAAGGAGCTAACGTGGGGGCCGYGGAGCAGCCGGGGCGAGCACTGGCTCTCGTGAGCACACAGGCGGCTTGTTTCCCGGCCGGAGGTGGCGGGGGGACCACGCGCCGCCCGCCCCGTGTCARGAGGTGGGACGCGCGCGTGCCGCCCGGGAGATCGGCCCTGGGGCTTGGAGGAGACACTGGCTGCATAAGGGCCACGTCCAGCCACGCGAGCAGCAGTGAAGGGGAGCAGGGACCCGCTCTGGCCCTGTGCTAGACCTAGGCGCAAGCTGTCGCACTAGTGTGGAAGTCCCGTTGYAGTCCAGGCCCCCCTGTGCTGGAGGACCTCAGATGTGACCCCGTCACAAGCTTTGGCCTTGAGATCTGGTTAAAACACAACGTGCTTAGGGGTTGCGTGTTGAGATTTAACTTGAAAAGCAGTGGTTGGGTAGCTCTGAAACAAAGTTTGTAGGGAAAAAAAAATCAGTCTCTTTTAYCAGAGCGATTTTTCTAGGTCATGTTCCAACTCTTGAGATGTTTGAGCTGTGCAGTTCTGCCCAGCAGTGTCTGCCCAGCTGTGTCTTTACACTGTCCCTTTCTCTAAATTGAGTCATTACAGTCAGGTTTTCACTTTTTTTTTAATATCATGAATGTTTTTAATTCTCTGCGAAGTAAAATTTCACACAAGATTCATCTGAGGTCTTGGTGAGGATCTCAGTGAAACATAATTAGATTTCATCTTGAATGTCTCTAGAAGTTGGCAAGAAAAAAAAAAAAAAACCACCCCAAACCCCACGTCTTTTACATGTGGATGTGGCATCCTCCTAAGCACATTTTCAGGTAAGCTGAGGAGCAGCAGACCAAAGCTAGCATGTTTTTGCCAAGCTGCTCCCATGGCACGTGAGCACGAGTGGGCTTTGTTGTGCAGTCCTAGGGCTCTGAGGGGCTTGCAGGTGCGAGGTGGTTTGGCAGCTGTGGCTTTCATCCCTCTGCGTGAAGACACGTTGGGAACGGAGCCCAGACAGCATCGTAGGCTGGCGCTGCCGTTCCCTGCGCGCGACGAGCGGGTGCAGCCTTGGCGGTTGGCTGTGCCGGCCCTGCACGCGGCTGTGCCGGCCTTCCCGCTGCCGCTGGCGTGACGCAGCACTCGTGGGGACTGCTGAGTCACGGGGTGCCACCGTGCGCAGGGCTTGCTCGGATGTGACCGGCGTGTAGGTGTGACTGGGTGCAGCGGCGCGGGGTGAAGGCGGGCCTGGCTGGAAGAGTGAAAAGTCATAACCATGCTATAAAAAAAAAAAGAAAAAATAAAATAAAAATTATCAAAAGTAATTGCAACGCTACAACAGCACTACTGCTGACCTTATTTATTATTCGCAGGGCATAAATGTTTTGTAAGGTGTTTCTTTTATGTCTTTGGTGACGCCACCCTTTAATTSCCATAGGTGCCCTCTGTTATGCTGAGCTGGGAACGTGCATTAAGAAATCTGGTGGTCACTACACCTACATCCTGGAGGCCTTTGGTCCGTTGCCTGCTTTTGTGAGAGTCTGGGTGGAGTTGCTCATCATTCGGTGAGTGTGCAATGGGCTTCTCTGTCTCTGATCTGATACTGCTGCGCTTTCGGTCCTGAAGAACAGTCTCAGATATGTGATACATGGTGAAATCAAAACTTGGTGCATGAGCTGTACACTATCARTAAGGTTGCTCTGGATAACTTAACAGTTTTGTTTTGCTTGGCAGCATTGAAACGTTCAAGAACGCATGTTTTTGGGGAGAAAAAAAATTCAGAATAAGCCAGCTGTCGCACACGTTCAACTATTTGTTTTAATTTTGCTCGGCTTACCACATCCATTAATGCCCCTAATARCACCTGTGCCTGCACGTAGCTAACTGGTGCGCACCGTAGTCAAACAGGGAGCTTTCCTCTGCACTTATCATTGCATCCAGATCATTGACGCGATGCACAAGCCCCCGCTTTACACTATTGCTGAGAYGGGAGAGCTTTTTGCGTGCGGGACAGGGCGATTTGCTTTTATAAAGCAGATTCCAGGAGCTCTCCATGCCTCTCGGCAGCCGGGCCGCCGTGCCCGGTGCAGCTCCCTTGGCTTGCGTGCTCTCGACAAGCCCCGGCACCGCTGCGGGGTGCAAAGCACCAGCCGTGCTGAGTCACTGTGAAGCTGTAAGTTCTTATCTCGCTTCTGCAGGAAGTGCTTACGTCTGTTGGTGGGTCACCCGCATCCTCCCCGCCTGTGTGTAACCTCCCCATTAATTGCAGGTTTTCAATMAAATGTGACAGCAGGGTGGATGTCCCGGCCCTTTGGCCACCGGGGAGGCTGGGTGGAGGGAAAAGGTCTTAGTTTTCAGTGAGGTTCCCATAGGTGTGGGAACGTAGCTATCTTATTGCACATGAGAGACTCCACAAAGGAGCAACAGGATAACCCACCTTGAAAACCCACACAAGCAAGAGGATAACCCGTCTTGCTAGACAGGGACCTGATTGATGCACCTAGGCAGGGAGATCCACAGGAAACCAGGCTTGTTAAAKCTCTTTTCTCAACAAATTTTCCCCTTTTCACATGTGTCAGTGTTCCAGGAGAGCCACGAAAACATTGTTAATCCTCACCGTGTGCCCCACACCCAGTAAATACCCGTTCTGCACGGGAAGAAACATCCGTGGAGTCTTTAATCACCTATCYGCACGGCGGCCAGGGAGACAGACTTGTTATAACTTGTGATGATCAGCGCGGCRCTGCCGAAACTCCGCCTGGAGTTTTGTGTCTGACTCCTGCGTCGCTGAACTAATTGACTGACTGCTGTTATCAAAGAGCCTGAGACCGAATATGTATCTGTGATTTCTTTTGTAGTGGGCGAAGTTGCTTGTATGCCTCTCAGTTAAGCCTTTCTTTACCCTGGAAGATTGCAGGATTATCAGCCCCGCAGGCTGGTGGAGCAGGCACARCCAAAAATAAACATTGCCTGCTCTCGTGTATCTTTTCAGTCATTATTTTACTGTCTGRGGCTCATTTAAACACTCTGCACATAGTGATTAACATGCACTAGCATCACCTAAATGCAGAAGTGTCTTTCCCTGTGTGCAGCTCCTCATTCAGAACAACTCAGAATGTTTCTTTCTCCACAAGTGACATATATATCAGCTGTATCAGAGATCCATTAAAAAAAAAAAAATCCCACTAGTTTACAAACAAAGAAGCCTGCTTGAGCATATCATCTGTATTGAATATGGTGATTGCTAAGCACAGGCTGGATGAGAGTCTGCTGGCAAATAAATGACTCACTTGTCTGTGGTATGTGCTGGTGACAATGTCCCTGCCCCTCTCCCCTTGGCACTTTGTGCTACCTGTCCTTAAATGAAAGCTGCTAAGTCTCTTGTGCCTTGCTCCAGTGGCAGGGGCCTACCAGTCTTGCTTTATGATTGCAATAAAAAGGAAAAAGCCTCATTCTTTCAATTACTTCTTCYGTTTGTGGACCTCACTGCCAGCGGCAGCTTCCCCAAAGTGTGGGAATGGAAGAGGCATAAGAGGCATGGGCAGTTACTAGAGATGTAAATCAGGAGCTGCTTTCAAAATGGATGTTGTGGYGCTAGTGGCCACTGCCTCTTAGAAGGTTTTTCTCAAAGCGAGAGGGGGAAATCAAGTTCTGGTAGAAGGAGCTGGAACCCAGGGAGAAAGTTGCCCGAGACAGCATCAAAGATCTGATCTTTCATCTGATCTAGGGCAGCCCAAGCTATTTTTGGCAGCCTGCTCTATTTCAAGGCTGGGAGCGTGGCGATCTTCTTGTACAAATTAAGAGTAATCCGCAGAGGTCGGTTCAGTGAATACGTGTGTACAACTAGAGCGAGAGGTGGGATATCCCTTGCTGGTCAGCACAAGGAGCAGTCCTTGTGCGTGCAGGATATCCAAGTGGATGTGTTCTCTCATGGGGCAGAAGGGCTCTTAGGAAGACGCTTCTGTTCCTCGCTGCTCTGCACCCAACACAAKGGGTGATGTTTTTGATGAATCATCATGATGCAAAGGTGTTTTTGTTTCCGAGGCAAAAGTCTCTTGTGGAAAGTTCCTTGATGGTTCAGTGAAGAATAAGAACAGCTTTGTAGACTCTTTAAGCCCTTCCCTGCAATATTAGAGCAGCTGTATTTCTGTTGATGTTCTGCAGGATGAGTAGGACGCTCTGCAGCTGGGCATTGTTTTACTAAAGCCTGGAGATTTTTTTTTTAATAACAGATTTGCAGGTTCTTGTTTACCTCAAAAATCCCGAGTGGCAGATTCATGTGCCCTTTTCCYCTTATTGTGTGTGTGCGCCTGTGAAGGAAGCAAAGATACCTCCAGCTGAACCTCAGGGTGGGTAAGAGTCTTCCCAGACCCAGTGCAAGTGGAAGCACTAAATACGCAGACAGGGTCTGAGCTGAGGCACAGGGTAGATTGCTCTTTACACATATGTTAATTCTAAGGCTTCGGACAAACAATTAGCCTGTCTGAAAGAGCAAGGCTTTGTAAATGCTGTGAGTACCAAATGCAAGAACCACATACCTTCCTTCACATTTCTTTGATGCATGGAAGTTGTTTCCTGCACTTGGGTGATTTTTGCCCTCACTTGCTGTGCTGAGTTGTTAGTCATAAAAGGAGCAAGTATTTTTAAAAGTCTATTTCCATTTTAGCAAGTTCCATTTTCATTTAAAAAACGGCCTTTTTTGAATGCTAATTTCAGTAGAATAGAAATCTCAGCTTCATAGAAATTGATTTGCTTTTATTGTGAGGAGTAAGATATGCCCAGCATTAAAACAGAGTCCTCTTCAACTTTTACACGGGGCTTTGCTCATGTTATCTAGTTCTGACTAAGCTTACTTCAGATGAGTCGACGAAGGTTTGTATTGCCACTTTTCCATTCTGTTTATGGCTGCTTCACAACACGAGAGTTGCAGGAAGGACTCCCTCCTGATAAGAGAGCTTGCTGTCAAGATCAGAGTCACTAAGCAAAGCTCAACTGTTTMTGATTTCTTGATGATCTCTACTACACTCAGAAATCATGGTACATGGTAGCACAGTTACAAATATGCCATAAAATTAAGTATAGCTCGCAATCGTGTGATGCTAAAATTACAGTATGATTCAATATGAATATTTCTTGCCTACTATTGTGGATTAATTTTGTGATTTTTTTTTTTGTTTGCTTTTGCTTTTTCCCCTAGCCCTGCTGCCACAGCAGTGATATCGTTGGCATTTGGACGCTATATTTTGGAGCCTTTCTTTATGCARTGTGAGATCCCAGAGCTTGCAATTAAGCTTATTACAGCCGTTGGTATCTGTAAGTATCCAATWTTTAGGTTTCAGGGAAGAGTAAAGATGATGCAAACTAGAGAGTACATAATGACATGCTGAGCAGGTAGTCATTTGACGTGGATCATTAGAGAAGGACTGTGCCTCCAGTGCCAAGGGCATCAGCACGACGCCTTGCCTCAATCGGTGTGTTTGTGAGCACACACGGTTGTGAAAAAATAACAGAGCTCCTTAATGGCAGGAAAATCTATTGCCAAGCCTCATTCCGTTGCCACTTGAATTAATGGCTGGACTCTCATTAGTTTGGTGGAAGCAATTTCGGTCCCTAAAGACACAGCGAGCTGGTGCCAGAGATATGGGGAGCGATTACTTGGTTCGAAGGGCTTTGTGGTGCTTCTGTTTCAAGAGGCAGCTGCGTGCCAAGTGCAATCTTGAGGAGTGATGTCTTTCCTTTGGCCGGCCCACAGGCAACGTGGAATCATCTTCCCAGGTGCCACCCTGGCCCACAGAGCAACGCGGGCTCACGGGAGTGCTGGCAGCGCGGCACGCAGAAACTAGCTGGCTGGGCCTTCCAGGGGACGTGCACATGTGTTACCACTCGTTTGCCCTATTTTATTTTTCTTTTTTTCCTGTTATTTTTCCTCYTTTTTCCTATTTTTTGTTAATGGGCCATTTTGGGATGTAGAGAAGGGATAACTGCCAGCGGAAGCCTCTTTGTAGACAAGGAGCCTGGTGGTGTAYGCAGGCTGGGGTGCTAGACTGAGCAAAAGCAGAAGACAACCTGGGCGTGAGGTCCATGCTGGGGCGATGCGCGTAGGGCAAAGTGATCAAAGGCACGTGGAGAGCACTTTAATTTTGCACCGTAATAGGTTCAGATGACTTTCTTTGGGGTAGAAAGTTCAGTTGACGTTGATATTTCCAAGCTCCTGATTGCTCTCTGCCTTTTCCTGATGATGTTCTCTAGATGGGAATTCACTTCTACCAGGAGCGTTAAAAAAAACCACGTGTGACCACATTTCTTTCTGACTTAATTATGCACAAACTACAGGTTTCACAGGAATAATTGAATTAAGGGCTCAAGTTTTGAGGTCAATGACTGTTTTATAGCTACATCTGTCTAAAATATTTTAGCAGAAGATAGGGGCGAAACAGATGTTGGGTAATTTCAAGGTCAATGAAACAGAAGGAATGTGGAGGACTCCATTACAGGCTTTTGTTAAGGGCATGYGATTCAAGCACAAATACGTGAACGATTTAAAATAGGCTTTTATTACTTTTGATTTAATTGAAAAAATGTGTGTGCTAAGCCAGGATTTTGYGAAGTAATTAAACAATTGCAGGGGGAGTGGAGGGAGGTTATGCCGAGATAATTGTGCCCTGAAGGGAGGCAGGATTTCACAGCAGACTGTTCCTATGGTGATCGTGGGCTTGTGCAGGGCAGGTAGGATGAGCCTCTGCTTCACAGAAACCAGAGATTCCCACCGAAAGTTTGTAATCCTGGACGGGATGGGGCTGAGGAAAACCGTGATGTGCGAGAGGAGGGTTTACTTTTACCCTTTGCAGTGCGCTTTGCAGCAGAGTTTAATTTGTTGTAGTTTCTGATCATATGCTACACTTAGGCTCGGGGATTGGAAAGTGTGTGACTGTTATTCCTGTCTTGGCAGAATGAGTTATGGTGCTAGCAAGCAATTATGATGAGTTTTTGTAATGTGAATATGAGCAGAGTGATAGGCAAGACCAAGGTCTGGGGGGGCTGAACAGGCATATTGGAACCCTACAGATCTTATAATCCAATTTAATGGTGCCACAGRCAGTATTTGCTTTCATTGAAAAAAAAATTAAGCTAATCATGAAGTCAGCTGACAGGCCTTTTGTCTTTTCCATTCCTCATCCCTTCTTCTATCCCCGGTGCCTGATGACAGAGTGCTCACTGCATATCTGTTATCTTTATTGCTGCGTGGGGAGGAAGGCGGCGAGACGCAGCGTTAAGCGCTGTCCTTGATGGAGACTTTGTTCTGCAGTTTTACCTTGTCATTTCTGATCACACGAGAAAGGCCTGGAATGGATCTTGAAAAGTCTCCAGGCTATCCCCTGCCCCCAAACACCATCAGCTTATCTAAACAATTTCTGGCAGATGTTTGTCTAAACTGGTCTAAACCTCCGGTGAGGGAATTTCTACTATCTCTGAGTATCATATCCCATTTTTTTCCTCTCCTTGTCTCAAAAAAGGTTTTCTCTTCTTTTTTTTTTTTTCCCCTTCTTTTTATTTTTCTTTTTATTTATTCTTTTTAACTCCTAAGCCTCCTCTTCTGTAATTTAAGCCTTTGCACCATATCTTACCCCCCAGTGAATGGGAGGAACAGTCCTTCCTTTCCTCTATACAGTCCCTTCAGCAAACCAGGTTTACAAAGGGGGCAGCAAGGCTGAGCCAGGTGCAATAGTGCCCAGCAACTCTGTGCCCAGCCAAGGGTGGCCTTAGTGATCCTGCGAGGATGGCCGTGCCTCACCAAGGGCTGCAGACGATGGGATGTGGCAGGTAYGGACGCTCCTCCACTAACTGCAGCCCATATGGCACCTCAGTGCCCTCGTCCTCCGTGCTGCGAAGGTGACGTCCATCAGAGCCGAAACGGGGAACTTCTGGGGAAGGGGACCTGTAAGGAAGTCTTGTTATTGGTTTATTGCTTTTTAGGAGCAAAGCATGTGCTGGGGACAGAATTCACCTTCTGTTGACACCTGCCCTGAGCAATTTTGAACAAGTAAATTTTCTCTCCTGGGGGACTGCAGTTCTTTCCTCTGGGTGACACAGGTGATTAGGTGTTTTTTGGAAGCAACAAGTCCAAACGTGTTGATATCCTGGGGCACATGGTGGAAAAGGTGCCTGTGGACTCGTCTCTGGAAATCCCCTGCCCTCCTAGTCTCTGCACTGCCATGGGATTCTGCTTTTTTCAAGCTTAGAAGTGACTTGAATATCCTCTCTATTTTTCAAGTCATCTCTGTAAGGGGAAAAAGGTAACAAATAGTGCATATACTTATCTCAGTCTGTTGTCAGTCTGCTGTAAAGCTTTTCTAAACTCAGTTAATTTAACAAAATCTCAGAGAAGAGTAGATGTTTCAAGGATACTCCCTTCTTATAATTTCTGTGAAAGTAGTGGCCAGGGAGAGGAGAGGAACCTGTGCCCTGGGAAGACCTCCAAAAGAAAATGCATATAGAGAACAGACCTTCTAAATACCTGTTTGTGGGAATTGCCTCAGCTGGAGGTTTGTCTCCTTGGACACAGTGGCCCTGTGGAGCAAAGCAGGCTTTCTCTCTTTCAACGTGTGGCTTTCTCTGCTCTGCTGCTGAAGGCAGATGTTCCTTCAGCAGGAACACTTAGGAGTTTGTTTATCTTTTTAAATAAAATCTGATAGACTCCTTCATAATTTCTTCAAATAAAGAAGTGTGGTGATAGGCTGTGCAGAAGGAGTCTATATTCAATTATTGCTTTATTTCTATCCTCTAACCCTACCTCCTAATGATAAGCGTAAATAAATTACCAGCAGTGAGGGATAAATTATACCCTGTAAAGATGTTGAGTGTTTTATTGATATATAACCTGAATAGATATGCAATCTTAACTGAGCCAGTTCTAATCTTTTCACTTGCTGTTCATATCAGGAGGACAGGTTTCAGGTATCCAAAGTGGAGAGGCTTGGAGCAGGTTGCCAATTCAGACCTGTTTTTAAGATTTTAAACTATTCATGCATATTTGGGCACTTGTCAGCCCAATAATGTAAATTTTCCATTGTGTTGGAGCTCTGCTACAAAAACACCTCCAACTGTCAGTTATACAGAGCCAATGGTATGCTTGAAAAGTGAGTTCAGCTGTACAGATCTATCAATATTTGCTGGCAAATATTCTGGAAAGTTTTGCTGGCATTAATTGGTTGTATGTGTGAGTCTATAGTTAGTTCCCTTTTTCTTTTTTCCCCGGCATGGCAGATGCTGTGGACGTTGAACTCTCCTACTGACAGGTTTCAGGCAAGCAGTTAAATTAAGATATCTCTTGGCTGTGGGAATAGCAAAAGCTGCTCTGATGGGTGGTTTTGTGCCTCCTGCGACTTCATTTTAATTGATGCATTAAAATCCCCAAATGGGGATATTTTTGCTTAGTGTGGGCTCTTCCTGCTTACGAGTGCCATGGCCATAAAACTCTGATGAGTTAGTGGAGGGTAGCTCCTTTTGCAGCTCCCCGCTGTGGCAGTGGTGCACTTTCCTGAAAGTAGGGCAGGATGAAATGCTGCTGCCGCTTCCCCCATTGGATTTCATTACCCTTTTACRGCTGTGACTATGGAAAGGAGAAGATGATTGTGAAAAACAATGTGATCAGTGCTACCGTTGGGTTTGATGGTTCATGAATGCTGTTTTGTTCTCCCTCCATGCTTTCCTGGATTAGTGTTTTAGGTGGATATGTAGTTTGAGCTAATTGTCTGCGCTCCCTGTAAAGTTGGTGGAGAAAGAGCAAAAAGCGAGAGAATTCCTGAAGGCAACTCATCTCATCCTAGGTAGGCTTGTGAAAGAGGTGCTATTAGTCATCCTCTGGAGGCACATAGCTCCTCACTGAGGGAGGAAGGAGWCTAGGTGCCTAACTTTGAGTTGGCAAATACAGAAAAGATGAGTCCCGCTTTGACTGTCCTTTTGTCTGGAGGAGTTGCTGCTTTCTTCTGATCTTCACTGTGATTCCGCATCAAAGTCTCTGCAATGAGTTTCTTGAAGTATCTCCATAAGAAGCTATTCATAGAAGAGTTGTTGAATAATGACCCTCGGCCCAGGACACAATGTCATCYTGAAAGCTGACACGATTGCTTTATCTCAACTTTCTCCATGACTTCTTCACAATTGCCTTTAGCTGGTTAGTAAAACAACCAGCATGCTGCTGGTACATGATGTGATTATAACCCCCACTTATATCCCTTSTGCACATGCAACTTCAGATGCATGACTAAATGTTATAAAATTGTAAATACTTATAGTCAGTTAAGCTCAGTCTAATCAAATTAAATGGAAATGAAAAAAAAAAAGCAAGAAAAAGCAAATTCAGACTCAAAATCTCAGATCTTTTGAGAACTTCTCAGCTCTGCAACCTGAGCGAGCTGGAGCATGTAGCTGTGCCAAGAGCTCTTGCAGAGCACCATTGAACCTAAGGACACCAAGCACTGGGTACTGGGTCTCCTGTCTCCCTGATGAAATCAGGATTCTTGTAGTACCCATTTCCCACCAGAAAGCCTCAGAATGGCACCGTTTTGCTGACTTGGACTCACAGCCAGGGGARGAGAATGTTTAATTCATGCAGATATCATCCTGCATTTCGTTCTTTAAAGCAAATGTGGCTAACACGTAGRTATGTGGCTGGCCTGTAAGGAGCCTGCATGGGCTCAAACAAGTGCTCAGTCTTTTGCTCCCGGTCTCAAGAGTGTATCAGACAGGTAAGTGGAGCATTACAAAAACTGGAGGAGGGCTCTCCTGGAGGTGAGGCTGCTCATGTAACCTGTCCTGACCTAACAGGACCACTGCTGCAGGGAACTGGCCCTCTGAAGGGGCTGGATGTCCAACTGCAGGTATTTTCCTATACATAAAATGTCCCTATATGTAAAGCTTTCCAGAAAAAATGAAATAAGCTGGTGCTTGCACTCAATTCCTTTCATAAGTGCAGCAGTGTTGTGGAAATAGATATTTTAAATATATTCTGCTTAAGTTGTAAAGCATGTGTGCACATTTCCTACCTTTTTGCCCTATAATCAAGCCCTAGTTAAGAGGGAAAGCCTCAATCAACACTACTATTCACCAGCAACCTGGAGGAAGCTTTCAGCGCTTACCCTGACGTAACTTCGTTTATGTAACGTTGGGACAATAGAGCAGTGAATCAGACTCCTGGGATTTTCTGCTCCCTGCCAAGTATATATACATATACAAGGAAGTAATGAAGCAAAAAATAAGTATTTGGATCTTGAGTGATACTTTGCAGAAGCCCATGTGTGGGTTTTTTTTTTTTTGACTCAGAAAAGTTATGAAATATGGTGAAGTACAGAAATAGGAAAGCCTTTTGATATTTAAAATCCATTTTGGTGGAAAAAAAAGTCAAATTCAGTGATGTTGCATGGTTGTGTAGATTTTGTTTTTTTAAAGTACGGGAACCCTGCTTTCCCAAATAAAAATTCCATGAATTACTGGAAATACTGGAAATCACTTTTTTAAAATTTCAACTTAATTAAAATATCTAGAAATACATTGGAATGGATTTTTTTTCTCATTTTCTTGCAGTTTTTCTCATTTTCTCTTAAGCCAACACTAATTTGGTTGCAGCAAAGCTAGCTAATACAAAGCAGCYTCCAGGCTCTGGTGGGACACACTGACATGTGATTTTATGCGTCCCGTCATGGATGAGATGGCCGATTTTACAGACAAACAAATGCTCCTGAGAGAGTTTTGAAGTAAGGAGGGATTCTGATGAAAAGCTAATTAATTAGTTCCGTGCTGTGGCAGGAGAGGAAAGATCAATGAACAGGCTTGTGTTGCCACATCTACCTTCCTGCGTAGCAAAGGGGAAAATGCCTTGTTTTTCATCTAATGAAATGGCTCACATTTTCCATTCATTAAGTAAATAGCTGAACTTATTTATTCTATTTTGTCAACGTGATCACTTAGATAAACGAGAGTAAGTGGCACTGAAATTATAAGACCTGTTGTTTTCCTGTCAGTCAACGCTGTAGTAAAGGCCAGAAAATGCCCTGTCTGACCCAGGAAGATGCATGAGTGGAGGCAGCAGGATGTAAAAACACTTCTTATGTCACTTCATGTTGTTGAGGCACAGACCTAGGCTTGTTTTCCAGCAGCAAAACAAGTCTCTGCTCCTATAGCAATTCCCAGTGTGGATGGGAACATTCCTGGGATGGAGGTCTCCTGTCTTCTGKGTGATGGTCTTAGCAGAGGAGAAAGCCAAGGAAGGAGCAGGTGTAAATGAGGTAGTGAGTGACAAATTTATGTGGGACCTAAGTGGGGGTGAGAAAGTTTAATGGGATCATTAATTGTTATTGTTTCCTGAAAATGCAAATCTCTCGTGGAACCAGCACCAAGAGAGAAATCTGTTGTGACAGGGGTCGTCCAGGGTTTTTTTTCATCCAAAGCAGGGTTCTGTCAAGCCATCACCAACCAAGAGTTAGAAATGCTGAGTCAATGAAGCTTTAATGTGGTGCAGAAGGAGCCGTGTTGAGAATGAGGAGATGGATGGGTCAGAAAGGGGCTCAGCTCATGCATTTCACAGGGAGCCTGGGAGAAAGGAGGAGAGTGGCAGCTGGAGGAGGTTTTCAGGCATAGGTTTGCATTTCTCTAATGCATCAGAACTCCCTGTTTGTGCAGCTCTCTGTTGGCAAATAGTTTTGTGGTGATCTCAGTGGCATGAATGTTTTTTCTCTGATTATTCTCTTTTCCCTTGCAGCGACGGTGATGGTCCTGAATAGCACAAGTGTGAGCTGGAGTGCCCGCATTCAGATTTTCCTTACCTTTTGCAAGCTTGTAGCAATTCTGATAATTATAGTCCCTGGAGTTATCCAGCTAATTAAAGGTATGAAATGAAAAGTAAATGCCTTTAAAGTGCTTTTATCTTCACCCTCCTTCAGTCTTTCCCTGCCTGCCTCTGCCAAATACTGCTTATAGCAGCAGAATCTCTTAATTAGTCTCTGCTTGCTTAGCTGAAGCTCTGCGCTGTCATGTAACCGATTAGCAGTGGAACTGCACTGGGAAGAACTGGTGTTTCCCTCAAGCATGCCAATGAGACTGCTCATCAGGCTGCMTCTTCAAATGAGCTTTGGGATTGCTCTTCTGTGGGTATTTGACGGGACCTCTGTGGAAGGGGCAGACTCAGCTGTGGTGACCAAGGGTTTTTGCAGCAGTGGTCCAGCCAAAACGAGTTGTCCAGCCAGAATGCAGCTCCTGTAGCCACAGCATCACAGTGTCCTGGTCCGCATCTGTGGCTTGGCAGATCAAGATCAGGGAGTGTTTGAAATGGTGTCTAGCGAGGAGGCATCGTAGTCAGACAGGTATTGCTTTTACAGCCTTCCTGGGTGAAACTATGGGACACTTGTGTGCTTCATTTCGTCCAAGTGAGAGACTAGAACATCTTGCTAAAGGCAGAGGTTTGCGGCTCACCAAGACCYGGAAAGGAGAAGAGTTCAGGAGGCCAGGGTTGCTCTACAAGCCTTGCCAATGTTGCCACATGAGCAAGCCTACTGGACAGACCCCTCTGCCCTCCTCAGGTGTGCTCTGCATGGATGGGACTACGATGGCCTCTCCTTGGCTTTTGGGGGCTCACCTGGCTGGAGCAAGGCTGGCAGGAAAGGGCCTTTTGCTGGTGCATCCTCACCTCTCTGGAGAAGCTCCTCTGAAGCAGCTGTGGCAGTGGAGATTGTGAGATGGAGATGAGCCCCAACTCATTCACCTTGCAGCAATGGCACATAATAACTGCWTAAAGCAGAGGAGCCATTCAGCACAGCAGGCCAGGAAGGGGAACAGGTTTTAATGAAGTGGTGGCAGATTTTATCTAAGAAAACTTACACAATGGCCTTTCGGTCCCCGGGGAGATGCTTTTCTTGTGCTCCTCAAAGCCTCCGACYGGCGTCCGCAGCAGAGCACTCGCGCTCTGCGCTGAGCTCAGAGCTTCCTGGGGACACAGGCAGCTCTCTGTGGCTGGCAATAGTCTCTGAAAGAGAAGTTTCTCTATGGAGAGCTCTGCTGATTCACTATTTCTGTGGTTTTTTTTTTTTTTTAAAAAAAACTTTTTCTGGCTTTTGCAATGCCTGTTCCCTCATCTCCTCTTATGTTCAGGGTTTCTCTGCTTTCCCATCTGTCCCTCGTCTTTCTGGACCTTTGGAGCAGCCCAGACCTGGGTTTGTCWGGGTCCTGCTGCCTGTAGAAGTGCAGACCACCTGGTAGAAGAATAATGGAATAACATGACTCAGGTTGCAAAGACACACAGTTAAAATTTGTAACCTGGGTTTGTGGTGCCCAGCAATTTCTCCTCAGTGGAGCCTGTTACAATATTAAGCGAACTATTCTTAACCAGGCTTTATGGAAACTCTTTGTTGCTTTGTTTGGCTGTGAAAATATATGTGCTAGGAAGAAAACTTGGTGTTTTTTTCAGACACTGCGTGTGTACTGGTGGGCTGATAACTTGTTTTGTCGATACCTTACCCCATTGCTAAACGTACATTCAAAGCAATTTTGAATTTTAGACTTGAGGTATTATATTTGGGGAAAAATCACTTATTCCTGCATCCTTCCTTGTGTCTTCCAGTTATTTCCAAGATGTTAATGTCAAATGATTGCATTTCTAGATAAATGGCTCTTTTTTAGTATACTGCAAGACATGTTGATGAATATTATGTCAGGGAGAATTACTAAAAGCTAAGAAAATTACTGGTASAAAGGGTTTAGATCCTGGTTTTGCTTACTTGAAAGATGTTACCCTTAAGTGAAATGCAAGCAATGTTCCTTCTGGTTAAAATGTTACCAGACAAGTGAAGGAGACAACGGTGCAGTAACAGTGTCATCAAGCCCAGGATGCTTTGGAAAAATGTAATCAGTCAAACGCTGCTTTTACGTGACGAGGAGCACCACGAAAGCAGCTTTTTACAATTGCTGACAGGATCTGGCTACAAGGGTTGGGCTGGAAATTAAGGTCAAGGGTATTACTTGGTCAGTGACCTGCTTGGGTGATTAAATGTTCCATGGTGTGATATATTTATTTGTTTGACCAAAGAGCTCGTTTTCCAATCTTGTTTCTGTTGGTGTTGCAGGAGAAACACAGCACTTTAAAAACGCCTTTGCGGGGAACGATGCCAGTGTTATGGGATTGCCACTTGCTTTCTATTCAGGAATGTATGCTTACTCAGGCTGGTAAGTTGCTCAAACCTATAAGTGCTTGTTCTGAAACAAACACTCATATGTTTGCCTCTAAAAGAGGCATTTATTTTTGTTAAAAAAAATAGTGAGTAGCGTATTCTACATCTTACGATGAACCACATCATGTGATGTGGTGAGAGGAGATCTTGCCACTTTTCCGTATGCTGGCTAGTTATTCAATGAGCAGCTCTGATAAGGAAGGAGAAATCCTTTGCAATAAACAATATGCAAACACTCCTTGTCTTGTAAAATAAAATAAACAGAAGAAAGGCATATTTCAGTTCTTAAGATTAGAAATAAAGCTCCCAAGAAAGGAATGGTCTTGAATTCTCATATTGTCATTAGTTTTTTTCCTTTTTTTTTTTTTTTTTAAATCAAAGAATAAACATGATAATAAAGCTTTGCTTTTGTTGAACAAGCCAGTAATTACAGGGAAAACAAATCTATGAGCTGCAAAAGAGTTATAGAGCTCCATGGTACCTGGGTGGACTTCAGCCTCCGCTCTGTAGAAGTGGTATTTAAAGAGCAAGAAGGGACATGTGGTAACTCCAGATAGACCACAAAACAAGGATAAAACCYGGATTCCGGCGACTTGACTTTTGCTCTTACAGATAGGGCCTCGCTTGATGAGAACTGTGGGTGGCTTGAATGGGAGTTATGCCCTGCTCGCAGTGAATAGGAGCTGATGAGAAACCCTTCAAGCAGCCTGCTCAGAGCTTGCTTTCGAGTCCCTTCCCTCTTTTCTGATCTCCCTTACAATTTATTCCGGCTTAGCTAGACCTGCGCCTTGCACAGCGCCGATGGGCTTTGCAGCACAAGGGTGGAGAAAGACCACAGTGCACAGGCTGCATTTATTTTGCGATAGCTTTGCTGGCCCGTCTCCTTTGTGGGTGGCAAWGTCCTTTACCTCGCACAAAAGGCGAGGGCTGAGCGATAAGGGCTTTATTTATTTAATTTTGGGGAGCACAATCGGCCGAGCATTGGGATTCTCTGCTGGTCTGTAGCTCCTTGGTGGCAGGAGCATTATAAACATGAGCACTGAAGCACTGAGGAGAACTTTTATATTAAATGGTGGTGGGGAAGCCCAGGAGAGTCTGGGGCCTTTATCTGGGATAGATATGTATAGAATAAAAGAGCTTTTGAAGCATTTTGAAGCTTCAAAGAAATGGAACTGATTACATGGACAGTTCCTACCTTGTGCCCTCCCTCTTCCCTACACAACCACTTCTCCTACATCCATGCGTTTTAGGATTCTTGCTTTTAAAATATTGCTCTTACTGTACATTTTTGTTAAGAGGAAAATTTTAGAGGCTCTTTAATATTATTCACTACTGAGGCGCAATCTGCGTACTGCARAATGTTACATCAGATATATTGCTGTTTTTCTGTTCTTTCTTTCCCATTTCTTTCCCCGTTCCAGCTAACATTCTAAACCCCTAAAATAAAAATCATCACTATTTTTCCTTAGCACCCTCTGACACCCCCCCCCGCCAAGGTCTTCATTTGCCACTTATAAAAGAAATTAGCAGCAAAAGATCTAATTTGGCTAGCGATTCTTCCAAGCTGCCTATTTGTCTTTGTCACCAGCCGGAATTGATTGCCTGGGAGCACAGAGGAGCAGACCATTAAGTGGAGTGTCAATACCCTTGCACTATCAGTTGCGGGGGGCTAAATCAATCCAATAAGCCGAGTGTGAAGGAGCGTAGCAAGCATTGCTGTTGCGTCCCGGGATGCTGGTAGGGTTTTATGCATGGCCTGTGGCACTGTTAGCATTTAATGATGTTGCTTTAAAATACAAAACAAAGGTAGTGGCGCCTCTATATGTCAGCTCATCTGGCAAAAAGCAAGTACTAGGTATATAAAACGGTGGGTGAAAAAGGATGAGTAGAGAGACTGCAAGGAAATAGGTCTTGTGTTAATGAAAGCTGTGAGGCAGGAGCACCAAATTAAAGAAGGATAATTCACTTGTGAATTCATTGTAAATATTTATTTAGAGACTGCTATTGTGCCCTGTGAAGAGTCCTCCAAGTGCACCTATGTGTCTGTGCCTTGCACATAGCTGAGGTGCAGCTGCAGCACAACCTGCTCGGGAGCCTGTGCAAGGGCGTGCAGGACTAGTATCCTGCGTTTGCAGTTCCATATGCACCACACTAATGTTAAAATCCTGGTTTTAAGACACTTTTTTTGAGGCTTCCTTTTTTTTCCTGTTGCTGAAAAGACCTTGCTGACTATCCTGACAAGGCTTTTTTGCTGATATAACCAAAAATGTAAAAAGCTACAGCCTTTAAGCTGTTGGTGTGTGTCTGTGTGCAGGCTTAGGTTAGCCCTAATTTGCGCAATGTAGCAGGGTAGAACATGGTGCCATTGCCCACAGGTCTTGCCTAGCTTGTTTGCCTTGCTGGTCCCTTCCAAGAACTAAGAAGCGAGCTTCCCTTCCCAAGTGTGAGCATGAGGGAACATTAAATCCCATGCTTTCCTTAAGCCAAAGGTGGGGCTGCAGAGAGCCTGCCGTAATTAACAGCGCAGCTTCACTTGAAAGCACCTTGATGATTCGTTGGGAAATAAATTCAGAATCTACATTTACCAGCCCATTGTCATGTGTTTTGTAATTCCTTTTTTTTTTTTTTTTTTTTTTCCTTTTCCTTTCTAGGTTTTACCTCAATTTTGTTACAGAAGAAGTGGAAAACCCTGAAAAGTATGTACCTTACGTTTTTCTTGACTTCTGAGAAATGGCTGTAAAACTTAAAATGCTCTAAGAGAAGTAGTGGTCTTCAGAAATTCTGCATGCTGGCCAAGTTGCTTGCTTTCTAGCAGATCTGATAGCTATTTGAATTGCAATCGCTTGAAGATTTGCTATTTTTGGCCTGTCRTGACCTTGTTATGTATTCTGCCTTTATGTGCACAGAAAGCAGAAAACTAAGTAGATCTCCAGGGCTCTGATTCTCCCCCTCAGGATACAAGTARCTATCAGTGACTCCTTTCAGTGGAAGTTACTGGTATCCTGTCAGGGAAATCTTGCCCAAGAAACTTATCTGTGCAATATTTGACAGTTTTGCTGTGTTTAAATATTAATCAAATACTTAGTTCTGCTTGTTTTAGATGTCTCAGGGTCACAAGATCTTCCATGCACACAGCACAGCATCCAGTCTAATTAAGCCTAACTGGGAATATGGGTGGGAGCCTGTTCTGAACCAGCGTTGAGCAGTCTAAAATCACCTGTCTGTAAAATGTGGAAAGGAAAGCTGGGCTGTTATGGGGAGTTTGATATGGCAGATCTATTTCAATAAATCTATTTCAAGATTTCAAATTCATTTTGGTATGTGCAATCATCAGTAAAGCAATGTTCGTCTTGTCTAAAAATTATAGTRAATATATCTTCTTGAGTCATACTTGTTTCTATGAAGAAATCACTTATGTGATAAAAATTACTGGACTGATATGAATTAGGTTTTTTTAAAAGACATTTGATTTGATTCTRAAGTATAAGTATATAAATTACTGTTTACATAGGCCCACAGGACTGTGTGCAATGAATTACAAGCTGCATAATGGAGACATATTTAAAAACATCATCATGAGCGTGGGGGAGCAGCTTTAAAGTTTTTAAGTGGTTTCTTTGGTCTGAGCAGACTGGCAGATTGAAATATCCCAGTGTCTCTGCAGGCTCCTCCATGTTAATGGGCTCTGCGACGCAGTGTGAACAATGGGATTTGGGTCTGGCAGGTGAAACCAGACAAATGCAGGGAGAAAATACAGCGTTAATATTTAACAAGGAGGTTGACTAACCACTGGGAAAAAGTGCAAGTGTCACTGTTGGGTTCTTTATTCTCAGTCTTGGGTTTGGGACAGAATATACCTCCCTGGATATTGGGCATTAATAAAACACAGATCGTTTGGCTTGGTGTGAGAGTAGSTGGCTAGTGCTCAGCAGTCTTGTGATGTGCAGGAAATCAGGCTGGAAGATCTAGTAATAAACAGAGGTTTAACCAATAAGCATCTGTGTGTTTTATACAACATCAGAGGAAAGGGATATTTTTTTAAAAAGCACCGGTTGTGGTGCTGAAAAATCATTTTCTGGCATTTCTAAGTTACCAAGCAGTGACCATCAGGGCCATATGATGTTTTGCAACCTGTAAATGCCTCCCACCCCGTGGGACATTGCATGGCTCCATCTGTGCAGCCCTCATCGAGCAGCTGATGGATGGTAACTGGTGTGTGGTCAGCCAGCAAGGATGCTGCAGAGCAGGGCGCAGGGGCCCAGGCCTTGATCGGAACTCGCCACCTCTATAAACTCTTTAAGCCCAAATGCTATTCTTTGCTTTCATTCTTGCCATATACCTTATGTTAAAGAACATGTAGAGCTCTGCAGAATAGGACTTTTTTTTTTTTTTTTTTTTTTTTTTTTTTTTTTTTTTTTT